TTTGACATAAAAAAAAAATGTTATTTATTATAAATAGAATAGATACAATTGTACTTTATTTGGGAACTTGAAAGTAGTAGGTCAAGACCGTTATTGTGGAAACGACTGCTTCGCCTAATCTTGCGTCTGCTCCCGCCTGAATCCAATAGAGAATTAGATCAAACAAATGAAAAATAGAGAATTAGATCAAACAAATGAAAAATAAAATAAGAATCAAACACAGAAAATATACGTAACTGCAAATATTATTGAAGCAATTAAGAACATAACCTTTTTTTGTTCCATCCCAGGTAGATTGTCGATCTTCCATTCGATCTCCGCCATGATTTCCATCTTGAAGATGCTGATGATTGTGTATATATTATGCACTGTACGTACAGGGGAATTATAGCAAAGATGGAGGGAACTCTGTTTTCTCCAGCTTTGGAAGCCCTAAAGCTTGTTAAGTATGAACGAGGGGACATCCAGACCAAACCTTTCTTAGATGTCTGCAAATTCGTCTTGCCTATCCTAGGTTTTCGTCTTTAATTTCTTCCATATATGATCTGCTCTTGTTTTCTTCTTCTCCTTCAAGATATATAATATATCAACATAAATGTATACCCCAACTATCAGCTTAGTCTTTTAGTTGAGATGAAATATATCATAGTGTGTGTTGAGCATATCAGTTTAGAATTTTAGTTAACATAAAACACTGCATATTATTTGTTTTCATTCTGCCTAGAGTCTTGTATGTATATGTTTAAAGATCGGTGGAAAAGATGTTTATGAATTGTTAATGAATATAAAAAAGTTATGAAGCTTATTACAAATCATGGAGAAGAAGAAAAAAAAAATTATGTAAACCTTTTGAGTAAGTATTTTCAATCTGAATTGACTAATAAGGTTAGTTTCTGATGGCAGATAAATTTGGAGCTTCCATGACTGTAGTGAAAGCTGACATCAGTGGAAACATATCAGTAAGAAAATTTATTTTCCATTTTTTCTTTCCTTTAAACATGCATACATATATACACACATATATATGAAGTAGGCTTTGAGGTTAAAAACAAGTTTGAATATTTCAGGTTTACAATTCATCAATGATTATAAGATTCCACTAATACAGACCCAAAAAAATTGACTATGGACATCTATTTATAATTTACAAAGATGCCTAAAGTTATAAAGTGTGACATATTAGTAATTATTTGAGTAGACACAGACTTTAGACATCAGTTATAAATAACTGAAACACTTAATATATATATATACACACACATGTTTAATTACGGAGTATTTGTTTAATTTATGACTAATTTTGACAATTTTCTAAGACTTATTGTGTTGCAGAGGTTGGATTCTAGATACAATTCCAACACAACAAGATTCAACTACTTGTACAGTTTTGTACAGGCAGAAATTGAAACCAGTAGTGCTAAATCCTCATCCAGCTGCACCAATGGCCTTCTTTGGTTGACAAGGTATGCGTGTGTGTGTGTAACACTATTAATTCATCGTATAGTAATCACATAAATGCAACAACCAGCTTGATTAGCGTGAGTGGCTATGCATTCTCATTCCTTAATAGATGTTCTTAAGTCCAAAACCCCATCTTATATAGAAAAATCAATATGACCCGCACTTTACTCTTTAATTGGGTCAGCTCAGTGCGAACGAAGATTAGTCTAAGTAGAGTTTAAAAAGTCTTTTATAATTGGAACCTACTCAAAACACCTCGTGGTCTAAAAAAAAATAAAAATGGCATGCATGCAATTGGTGAAACTAATTAAGATTGATGCATGGTTCAGGGCAATGGATTTCATAGTAGAACTATTTCGTAACTTGGATGAGCATCGGGATTTGTCAATGTCGCACGCTTGTTCTCATTCCTATTCAAAGACCTTGAAGAAATGGCATGGCTGGCTTGCTAGCTCCAGTTTTATGGTATGTAGTTATGTACTTCTCTATTATATAAAAAATGTAGGGTGGGTAAATGGTTGTTAGCTGATTGGGTATGTGGGTTTGATTAGTTAATAGCATTAGATTAGATGATTGTAGAAATGTATTTGGTAAATTAGCTGTTAGCTAATTACATACAAAATAACTCTCGTAAAAAGTTGATCAAAAAAGTTACTGAGTAGCTTTTTGAATTTTAGCATTTTGGAGCAATAAATTGTTACAAAAAAACAATTAATCAAACACTCATATTAATTGTTTAACCAAGTCAAACAGCTAATAATGATCAAATAAGTCAAAATTGACTGAGATGCTAACTATTTAACCAAACAGGGCCTTTAGATTAAGAGAAATCATATTTTAATTTGGTATAAAAAGATATTGGTCGTGTTTGGTAAATGGAGCTGATTGTTGTTAGCTATTAGCTGATTAGGTTAATTAGGTGGTATATATAACTAGTTGATAACATTAGCTGATTGTAGAAAGGTGTTTGGCAATTAGCTATTAGTTGATAGCTGAGCTAATTGAAAAAGTTATTTTGAACAGCTTTTTGAATTTTATCATTTTGGAGTTACAAAACACTAATTAACCAAACACTTATATTGATTTTTTTAACCAAGTCAAACAATTAATAGTGGTAAAATAAGTCAAAATTGACTGATAGACTAATTATTTTACCAAATAGGGCCACTATGTTCACATGTTATTTAGAACTAATTAAAGAAGTCAATAACCTTGTGGTTTAGTGGCACAAAGTAACTTTTCCAATTGGGATGTCATAGGTTCAATCCCCAATAGAAGAGGTATTGACTCTTTGTACTTCAGTAACTTGAGAAAGTAGTACTATATAAAAAAAAAATCAAAAAGGCTAACATCTAAGTAACCTTTCAATTAATCCATCTTGCATCTTTGACCTAGCTAACATGTAAGTAATATATTCACTTATGATAACTTGACCGTGTGAATATGATAGTGACACTACTCTATATCGTCATTAAAAACTTGACACATTATTTAAACAACCATAGACTTTGAATGAGTCTTGAAACCTAAACATTTTGCTTTATTCTATTTTTGGTCTTCTAATTACTACTACGTGGGATGTAAAAGGTGGTGATGAAGCTTGTTCCGGAAAGGAAAAAGTTCATTGAGGTCCTAGGTGGAGAGAACAGCTATGGCGACATGGAAAACTTCTGCACAGCCTTTTCACCAATACTTAAAGACATCCACAAATTCTTGGTAAGTTGCTTCTTCCATCTCCTTTTTTTTTTGGAGTAAACATTTTTTTTTTTTTTAAATTAAGACTGAAAATATTCAAAGATGTGATCAATTCTTCTTTAAAATTTAACTAATATTAATTTTACATAGCTAATATATATATATATATATATATATATATATATATATATATATATATATATATATATATATATATATATATAATATGTATGTATGTATATTATTTATTGATCAAATATGATTGACATGCAGACGAGTTGCGGATTGGACCATATGAAAGCTTCGTGATAGAATTGAGCCTTCAATGAATATATAGCCATTTAATTTTAAGATTTTTTTTTTTAAATTTACTAATTAAGAATTCAATTGTTTTTTTTTTTTTTGGGCTCTGTATATGTATTCAAGGATATTCAACATTTGATTGTGCTACACTTCTATGCTCTAACTGCAGTTTTTTTTTTGTAATTAAAAAATGGAAGATATGCCCGCATTTGGTTCCACTTCTAAATTGTAACTGCATTTAAATTTATATTTTACAATATATATATATATATATATATATATATATATATATATATATATCCACATTTGGTTACGTTTCACTCCTAAGTTTTAACCACATTTGGGTTCACATTTGATTATGTTCCACTCCTAAGTTCTACCTGCATTTATTTTAATTTAAAAAAAAAAATTAAAGGATATGCCACATTTGTTTTCCACTTCTAAGTTCTAATTGTAATTTTTTTTTTAATTTAAAAAAAATAATATTGGAGGATATGTTTTAGTTTTAAGTTTTAATTGCAATTTATTTTTTTTATTTAAAGAAATAGGGTGGGGTGCGAGAGGGGAAGGCATAGGTGTAATAGTATTGTCGGCAATAATTCTAACACATATACAGAGGTTTAAGTGAGAACAAACTTCATGTAAAGAGTGTAGATTAATCTCATATGTCTATCTAAGATGAGATTGTCAAAAATAATACTTGTTACTCAAAACTCTTTACTTCATTTGTGTTATACAACACTTGTTACTCAATTTTCGATACTCAAAAATAATACGCACTTGTTTAGATGATTTTATATAGTTGTAAATTGGGTATATTGCATTTTAGAGTCCAGTTTGGTACTACTTTGGTGGCCAATTTAACCTTTATTTGACCGTGATTGATTCTGAGAGGAAATGAATGTTAAAAACAGCATGTCGTATCAACGGAGAGTTCTTAGAATTTTTCAGTCTTACTAGATCGGTGGAAAGGAAGGGAAAGGAATACGAGAAAAAGCTAGGGCTTCAATTCAATTCTGGGGAAAGAAAAAGCAACAAGCTTTGGTTGTTAATTTGAATGATTCAAGAGCTAATTAGACGTTAAAAATCAAAATAGATTAGTGCCCGTGGCGGGAAGGGGGTTCTCACCTCACGAGTGGATTCTTTAATTTTTTGCAGTGAATCCTACTTATTCTGGAATCGAGATTAGTGTGTAAAAGAAAAAGTATGTTTATAAAAAAAAGTTTTTCCAAAATCAAAAGAGCAATTCAATTTTCAAAATAAAGGATTTCTAACCATCTGAAAATTCATATAATATAGATAGATGAAATTGAATGGGGGAGTAGAGTCTAGCAAATCTGTTTAAAGTTCACCAAGTTCCGAGGTGTTTCTTATTCGAACTCTATTCATTATTACTATATATAAATATACCTTATAATTTATAGTAGATTGAAAATTTTGATATTATATTCAACCGAAAATTAAAATGTAAAGTGAAAGAGTTTCTTCCTAGGAATTTCAAAATTTTAATCAACATTTAGGTACACAAAAGGGAATCAAAGTTTTATAAACAATTACTGAAACAAATCATGAATACTGGACAAATACAAATTGTACAAATGGAAGGAAGCTAAGGTTAATCAAAATCATGCAAGTAATGAGATCAACTTAGCAAGCATAGAAGTTTTTACTTCATTAGAACATGGTCAGACTGATACTGAATTCCCATATGAACAGTGAAAACAAAAACCCCAAAAAATACACATCAACTGACTGATAACTAGTACAAGATACACAAGAAAATGAACCCAAAATGCACCAACAGCGCATCATCATCTGCCATTTTGGCTCAAAAGCCATCAACAGGAAGTAAATTCTGTACTTGGCCGAGAGGGAGCTGATTGAGGTGGCCGCCGTGTAATTGATTGTTGTTGCAAGTGGGAAGCTTGCTTGCCGATGTTCTGGCTTCCTGCTGTTCTTTAGGCCCCGGTGCGCCTGATGAATCCTGAACCGACATTCCCAGACCATTATTAGTATAACATGAAAAACATAACTTATTATAAAGAGGAGTAAAAGTTGCAATTTGAAAGCTTCAATTTTGGTTTCTGAAGAGAAAGAACAAACCTTTGAAGGGGTCCATTTAACATACACTTCCAAATCGCGGCTGTTTTCATCTGATGGGTTGAAGTTCTCTTTCAAATCCTTTGCTTCAAAGAGATTCGTGTTCTTTTCAGCTGATTTATGTTCATTTGAGACACTCTTTGTCGCAGAATGCTCTTGAATTGTCTTGGCTGGAGGAGGGGATGATGACAAATAGCCACTGTCAAGCATAGGAGTTTCTCTCATGTTTTGAGACATTTCTCTATAGTTTCCACAGAGAGTGAATATGTTCTGTATTCTTCTTTCCCTATATGAGGCCCCTTCTGCATCCTCTTCATTTGCAGAAGATTTTTCCACTAAAAGGTTGCCTATTTGGCTCAACATATCTGCTGGCATACCCACAACTGCACTTGAACATATTGTCTTCTCCTCGACTACCTCTTTCTGCACCTCCTCGTCGGTGGAGCATTTGTTATTATGATCTTCCCCGTCTTCTTCTTCTTCTTCCTCTTCGAATACTGTACTCAAAGATACTTTGTTGGTGGTGAAAGTGGGTACGTCGGTGACAACATCTTCTTCACCGCCACTTGGATTGGAAATACTGTTGTACCCGAAAATTGTATCCATACTACTACTGCTATTTTCTGTTCTATAAACCCCAGCAGCATCTCGCTTAATTGTTTCCATATCGTAGGACTTAGACAAGTCCATGGACTTTACCATATCCGAATCGTCAGAATAAATCTCCAGTATTCTTTCTGCAAAACTGGTTTCTCCCCCCAAGTCGGCTGACCCTTTGGAACGATGAAGATCAAGCTCAATCTCTTCGAGGCGTCTTCTCAGCAAGTCTACTTCTTGTTGCTGCTGAAGCATTCGTTCTTCCATCTTTCTCCTCTCCATTTCGACGAATTTGTTTGCCATTTGCTGGCACTCTTGTATCTTCTTCTCTAATTCACTTTTCATCACCATGGTTTGTTCCTTTACCTTAATGTTAACCTCCTCTTCTTTACTCTTCAGCCCTTTCCCTTCTGCTGCAACCAGTTTAGCTCTCAATGCAGAAATTTCTTCTTCTTTTCTCCTTAGCTCCTTCTGAGCTTCATTCTTCTCCTTCTCCCTAAGCTTGTTCTCGACCTGCAGCTTGTAAATGAACTGGTCCATTGCTGCAATTCTTGATCCCAGAACATCTGCTGATGAAGAGTCATCACCGCCCTTGTCTTTGATTGGTGTAGAAGGACCGCGAACAATGCATTTTGCCTTGGCACCATACTCGAGGGTCGAAATAGTTTTGTACAGCTCCTTTGGATCCGGGCTGGCACACAAGATCATGAGAATTTTTGACTTGTCGTCTTCGAAAGAATCCTACAGAAAACGAATGAAGCGATATCAAAAACCAGAAGGGGAACTGGAAACCATCAAACTGCCAATTCAGTTCTAGATAATTTATATGCACCTGTAGAAGCATGGTCAACTTGCTATCTCTAAATGGCACATGAGAATCACCATTTGCAATGGATTCAACAACCCTCTTCAGTGCAATATTCCCCTGATTTATCTTAGCAGTCTGCATTTAGAGCCACATAATAACTATGGTTAAGAACTTGGCAAAAAGAACAAAATGAAGCATAAAAACTGTGGTTAAGAACTTGGCAAAAAGAACAAAATGGAGCATAAAAACTATGGTTAAGAAGTTGAATAAAGCATAGTTACCTGCATTTTTGCTTCAAAACCATTTTGTCCAGCTTGTTCTATATTTTCAGAACCTGCCATGTCAACAAGCATAAGCCGCCCTCCAACTGTTGGGACATCAAGAATTATCTACAAAAGTAGAACAGATAACATGTTAGATCAGATCCCAAAACACTTGTAACCAAGTGATTATAGAAATTACCAAGCAATGGCTTCTGGAACTTCTGTCATTACTGAGAGTGCTCTTAACTATCCTTCTCTTTTCTACTTTCTGGATCTCTTTTGATAGAGAGCCTGCATCATTCCCCGAAATAAAAGTCGCATTTTTTGCCCTTTTCCCCATGATTTCCAACCTTACCTGCAAATACAAACATATAGATAATTGGCACCATATTGCAAGATATGCAAGAAACCATACACCCAGGGTCCCTATACATAATACAAAATGGCCCCTTTTTAAAGTGGTGATGGCATTTTCACAGCATATGACTTTTTTACAATAGAAATTCATGCCAAAAGCAAAATGTTTATATCATTTGCAATTCCTTACTCAAGTAAAAAAAAAGGGATGATTTTCAATTTCCAAGAACATTAACAATAATCAAAAGATCATATATGCAATACTCTTTACCTCTAATTCAAACCTTTAACAAAAGTAAGGCAACAATTCAGAAGAGATAGCACTTATTACCATAGATTTGAAGCTATTATCCACTATTATTAGCTATTTCTAACTTCAGATTCATGAAAGAGAACATTATAGGATCATTTCCTATGTATGAAGTACTATTACCCAACAATAAGATGTCAATATTACCTTTTTCCTAATGCTATCTATAAACTGAGAATTGAGAAGAATATAAACTGAGAATTGAGAAAAATATAAACTGAGAATTGAGAATTGAGAAGAATTAGCAGTTGATACCTTAGAAGCATTGCCTTTAGACCATCCAAAACCAAAACCCCCACCAGTATTAGTTGACAACAGATCATAAATCTCCTCATTATATATCTCCAAGACAGTGACTTGAACAAAAGTCCCAACTCCAGAATTCTCACTCACTTCATCTCCTTCCCCCAATATTTCCTTCAACGATCGGTACACAATTCCGGGCTGCTTGGAGCTACCAAACATGGTGTGACTCTTCCCAGCACCGGTTGGACCGTACATCATAATGGTACATTTAGCCCCCAATTTCACCCCATTGATCCTCGCCTCGACGAATTTCTTGTAGAAAAGATCGATATCTTCTTCCTCGGAGAAGGAAACCCCGTCAAGGTGAAAGTCTCGGTAGCCTATATCAGTCTTCACCCTCAACGACTGGCGGTCGGCGTTCAACTTTAGGGCCGCCTGGGGCTTCTCTTTCCGATCCGGGTAGTCTCGGATCCGACCCACAACTTCCACCGGGTGCTCCGCCGGCGGGGCTTCTTTTGCGGCGGGGTTCGGGGATGGCCTGGCGAGGTTGAAGTTCAGGCGGTGTTTGGATTGAGGTGTCTTCGGGTTCCCGAAATGGGTCTGGTTCGATTTTGCCGATGGAGTGGGCGCCATTTACACCATAAAAAATTCAAAATGCTTTATGGATTTTTCTTCCAAATCTCGAAGAACTCAGAATTTGCGACGAGCTTTGAGTGTAGAAATCTGCAGTGAGGGCTTTTGGGCGTTTGAATTCAAGATTTGACTTTTGGGAGAAAAATGGCTAAAAATGGAGCAGAAGAAATGAAGGGTTTTTTTGAGGAATTAAGGCTTTTCATTGATTGAACTGAGGCGGATATGAGGAAAAAGAAAAAGGTATTTTTAGAGATTTTTCAAAGATTCAAATTTTAGTAGCCGTTACCACTTCTAACGACTATATTTTGCATTTTAAGCAGCGGGCCGCCAGTCTCTTGAGGGTCGGTTTGGGCCAGGCTCATATCTGTGACTACGAAAATGTCAATTTAGTCCTTCCTATATTTTAAAATATTTTTGTCTCATATATTTTTTTTTATCAGAATTTCAATAACTTTTATAAATTTAACTTATTAGGTTGTCCTTAAAAAATATATATATATATTAGATTGGGTTTGAATATGATTTTTTTGTTTTGGGTTTCAAAACTTTGTATAGTTATATATTATGTTATGTGTTTGTAATTATTATGCTATGTGCTTTTAATTTATTTATAGATACAAAAAATTAATTGTAGATACAAAATATTTTAACGGTAGACACATAATTTTAGGATCAGAGTTCACAATACAATATGAACTCTAGTCCATGGTATAACAATTGTGGCATATCACTACCACCAAAGCTTCCAGCCTAATTCACCAGGCAAATTAAAAAGTACATTTTTAATATACTAAATATACATTATTTGTGTATTGAATATACATTATACAAAATAATGTACTTTCAGTACTGAAATAATGTACTTTCCCTGAATACGATATACATTATTAATTATTAATATACTAAACGTACATTATTTTTGTACTAAATGTACATTATTTTATAACATACAAAAAATGATCCACATGGTCCACACAATAATGATAAACCTTCTTAATTATGAACTTTTAGCCCAAAAGATCTCTATATTGTTACAACTCATTAGCTCAACACAGATTCTGTCACTTAAATTTAAAATTCAGTTATAGTAATTCAAATTTCAAACACTTTCATGGTTTAATTGATACTCATCATACACATTTCTGTTTATTTCCTGAACAAAGGTAAATCAAATCATACCATTTGAGCTGACATGTTTGAACATTGAAGTGTGCTAATCAGCTAAGTGGTATTCTCTATACAATTGAGGCTTCACATTAGAACTGTGCATGGAAATTGGAAAGTTCACTATAAGTGACCTCCAAAAATCTAGGCAATGACAAAAACCCGAAGCTCCCCCCTATCGCCCCTTGTAATGCGCATATCAGAATCAGCGTATACGACTTCAAACTCACCGCTACCTGGATTCGATGGCGGCCTGATCGCATCTGGTAATCGGGGCACCTCCAGTGGTGGTAGTTGTGATAAGTTTCCTGTTGTCTTCACCGTCGTCTTTTCAAAGACGATCTTGATCTTGGATGTTCCTGAACACAGAAACATAAATGTGCAATCTAACTATCAACTTAAACTTTTAGTTGAGATGAAGGACATGCTTCAATTTGGTATCAGAGTCATGCTTTTAGTACACTTGTGAGAGGGGACCGACCTATAAGTTCAAATTTGTGAGCCAAAGTTGCAGTCACGTCAAGAGGCGGCAATGGCCAGGGGGCGCCAAGCTCAAGCTCAACTATATTATCAAAATCCCGACTAAACACATCAATCCTTTGAAATACCTGTTGATCATGGATTATACCATTGAAGTGTAAAATTTTCCGAATCTCAAGATTGAAGAAGTAGAATTGGTAACCTTTACTAAAAATGGTAGTAATGTATTAATCTGTATCAATAGTTTAGAAGTCAACCATGTAAGCATATCGGCATGAAACCCTTCTGAACAGAACAGAAGTCGACAAAAATATTCACAATGATAAATGGAAAATACTATGTGGACTCCGTTCTATACTTCCACACTCAAAATCTTGATGTAGACACTTTTATTGGACCCACATGAGAAAAATAACTTACCAGTACTTACCACATCAGAGAGTAAAAGTGAAAGAATTGATGTAGTAGAACTCATGATAAATATATTTTGGTGGGATTTGATACTTCTATAGTTCTATGCTTTTCTCAGTTTCGGGGATGAAATATATAGCTTACCTGACCAAGAGTTATCGGTAGTAATCTTCCTACTGGGGGGCCAGGGCGGCTTCCACCTAGGGTTCGAGATGAGAAAGCGCTGCTATAAATCAATTTCCATCTGCCTTGCAGTAGATCAAGATTACCTTCGAGATCAATGGGTCCCACAGCAGCTTCAAGCTCCTTGGAAGCATCATCTGCCTTCTTTAAATCATCATCACTTGCAGCAAGACCTCTGTTTAGCCCCGAAACAACACTCTGCAAGTAACGAAGCAAATGTGTCCAAGGTTCACGACATATTAGTAAAGCTTGGTTTGTATGTTTTCCTTCTCCTAGTGAAAGTCTGGTAGTACTGTAAAACATAGTTTAAAACAGCAAATCCGATCAACAAGAAATTCCCCTCTCCTCCCTTTCTGTTCCTGAACTTCGTCTAAAAACATCACACACAAGAAAAAAGAAAAATGGTTCCTCTATAAATCAATTTTGCTTCTTCCTGTGAACCTTTCCAGCTTTAAATAACAAAGATTTCCGTGGAGATGAAGGCCCTGTTTGGTAAAAAATTGGCCTATAGGCCAATTTTGACTTATTTGATCACTATTAATTGTTTGATTTAGTTAAAATATCAATATAAATGTTTGGTTAATTAGCTTTTTGCAACTCCAAAAGGCTAAAATTCAAAAAGCTACTCCAAGCAACTTTTTCAATTAGCTTTTTGAGAAAAGAAATTATACCAAACAGCTAATAGCTAATTTACCAAACACTTTTCTACAATCAGTTAATGTTATCAACTATTTATACCCTCTAATTAACACAATCAGCTACCAGCTAACAACCATTTTACCAAACAGCCAATTCAGCCATTGCAAGTTTCACAGAATTGGGTCCCAACCAAATACCTCCATTGCATGTGTATGATATGTTGTTTATATAAAACATGAATAAATCTAAAGCTCATTTGCCCTTCTATTTATTGATACAAATCTTTTTTTACAGCTTCTAGACAAACAGTTTTCCTCACTGGTTTCTTATCTTCCTATTTCAGAGTTGCGTTAATCGGTGGGATTATCAAAACCTGAGGTGACCAAATTGAGCTCTAAGCACCTTTTCCGGAAAATGGAAATTAGACATCAAGATTTTCAATGCTTTAATGAACAAAACAACACCTATGGAATCGTGCAAAAAAACTCGTTTTTAACATGGATTAATCATAAACTACTCAACACCTTTTGGCATTAATTATACACTAAGTTAATGAATTGATCACATAGTTAGAGCACCAAGCCTCAATGCCATGAACAGAGAGAGAGTAATATAAATAGGTCAGTAAAAGAATAACCACATCGAAATTACCTAATTAAACACATGAAAATTTAGGCCAACTCAAAAGAATCAATAAACCCAGTATATTAATTAACAAAAATCACGCATAGATGAATAATTTTAAGGTAAAATTTGTATACATATACAAAATCAAGAATCAAGCTAAGATTTCCATACCAATAACTTGAGCTTCAGAGACCCAATAAGCTCAGCCTTTGATTCTTTATTTGGGTCGATGAATGTGACTTCATCAATACCAGAACTGCATGTGAAGCTTCTCTTGATTGGGTAGCTTTTCCTGTGAAAGACATCAGGGGGAAATCTTGGGAGATGGCGTGGGATGGTGGGAGATGAAGCTAGAAATGGAGAAGAGAGTGAGGGTTTGGAATGATGGTGTGGAAGAGAGAGGGTAGAGTGAAGTAGAGAAGCCATTGATGGATTATTGAGCCTTAAGCTCCGTGCTTCTTGGGTGGGGAATGGAAATATCTGGGATTTTGTGGGTTTTTTGTTTTGAAATTTGATTGGGTGGTGACTGTTGCGGGAGATTTCGAAGAGATGTGTAGAATCGTCGAAATTAAGACTGGACGCGATTGAGAGAAATGGACGTCCAAGGACATTAAGACATCGGCCCGGGGTAAAATAGGACAATCGTTATGTCATGGAACCGTGTTCACCATTCATGATGAACACGGTCTCAACAGTAACGGTGCACAGTTATTATTTTTTTTTTCTTAATTAATCGCGTGACTTTTTTTCTTCATTTTCACATTTCGCAGTTTCACTTCCTCTTCGCGCAAGCTTCTTCAACATTCATAAATTATGAATGTGCAGGCATGAATTTATGAATGTGCAGTTATTAAATTATGAATTTTTTTTTATGAGATTATGAATGTGCAGTTATGAAATTATGAATTTTCTGTTATGAGATTATGAATTTACAGTAAATTCATAATTTAATAAATGTTTTTCTTTTATGCGATTATATATGAATTTTCTGTTATGAAATTATAAATTTTCTTTTATGAGATTATGAATTTTTTTTATGCAATTATGAATTTACAGTAAATTCATAATCCCATAACAAAAAATTCATAATCTCATAATAGAACATTCATAATCCTGAACAAACAGCGCCGTTAACAGCACATTAACTATTTTTTTTTTTCTCGTAAAAACGATGTCGTTTGGGCCCGTGTTCATCATTCACGGTGAACATGTTTCCAAGTTCCCTATTTGGTAAATGAATTAATATATTTGGTCCGTCATATATTAATTATAGATACATAATATGTAGTTAACACATTATTTGCTTGCAATTAATATATTACTTTTAATTTATTTACAAGCAGATAATTTAAAAAAAAAAATTATAAGCAGATAATTTATTAATTGAAGGTCAGACATATTTTTAGATTAAGATGGACTCTAATCTATAGTATAACAATTGAAAATCATCCTTGCAGGCCTTAAAAAAAATCTTTTGGAGATGGCAAATGTACAAGGAATAGAATAGAAACATATCCATTGATTTTGGATCAATAAAAGCATGTAATATATCTTTTTTTTTTTTTTTAGTATTGATATATGACATGTTTTTTTTTTTTTTTTTGTTTCATTAAAAAAACAAAATAAGCATGTCATATATCAAGAAACGTAAGTGATAGAGTGCAAATTATATTTGAAAAACGAGTAAAATAAGTCATCGAACTTAATAGATCGTTACCAATTGCTTGGGTTACCTCACATTTTGATGATGATGATACTTAACAGGTGTAAAC